ACTCACAGTAAGAAAAACAAGACCGTGAAAGAATAGAAGCATATTTGCTTCAACAACATGAAAGACAAATCTACAATCTACCCTGAGAAATATAGCATGGGTAAGCAGATGCAGTTGCTTGGCAATCATATTCATCAAAAGGAGAACCACGCCCATATCTTCACTGATTTCAGTCCCAATAACTGATATAAGAGAATTGTAGTAACTTAAAAAGACAACAACCTTTTTTTTAAAATCAAAACCTTTATCAACCCATATAACTTCAAAGATGAAACCAACTTACCAGATCACTTCGCTCAACAACCCGCCAGAGCTGTCTCCAAATGTCAAGTTTCTTCTCAAATGGAGTAAGTACAAGCTTCTTATTCTCCTCAAGCCTGAAACACCACCACACCACCAACATAAACTAAAACCATCCACAAATCCTTTACTCGAGCAAACAGTCAAACTAGTCCCTCAATTAATGTCAGACATATTAAACACGACAAAAATCACATAGGCAATCGTCAAGCTAGTCCCTAAACGCGCGTTCATTGAAGAACTTAAACCCTAACAATCAGATTGCAGAGAACTAACCTCTCTAAGCTGCGGCGCCAAATCAGAAAAACCTGCGTTTCGCTGTCATGAAGCTCGTTGGTGGACATGTGGGGGGTCCACGGCGGGTGGCGGGGAACTCGGAGGCTGGCGGCGTGGAGCGCCTCCTCTCGCTTCTGCTGATTCCTCATTTCTTCCAGCGTCGCTTCGATGGGAACAGAGGCAGAGTCCCTACAATGAGAGAACGATAAACAATAAAGGAAAAACGTTATGGAGCATTGGCGGAAGGAAGAGGAGAAAGACTGACAGGCTTATGAGGGTGGTGGAGGCGGCGGGGAGGGGTTCGTTGGATTGCTCGATGATGGCGTCGATGTCGGAGACTTCGGTGTAGGATTCGAGAACCTTCTTGCGGTAGAAACGGGACTTTTCCTTGCTTTGTTGGATCATGTGGTTGTGCTGCCTCACGAGGCCTCTTTCTGCAGTAGATTGGATAGCAGAAGGGCCTTCTTGTTGAATTCTTTGACGAAGCGCATGTAGAAACCTGCATGGCCAATAAAAGATCGAACCTCTCGCACGTAAGAGGGATAAGGCAACTGTGAAATAATAGAGACTTTCGCAGGATCTACTTCTATGCCCTTACTAGAATAATATGCCCTAATACTATACCCTGTTCTATCATGAAGTGACATTTTTCAAAATTGAGAACAAGATCAGTTTCAATGCATCTACTAAGCACTCTATTCAAATTATCTAAGCATGTGTCAAAAGAGGATCCATATATAGTGAAATCATCCATAAACACCTCTATGCAATTTTCAAGAAAATTAGAAAAGATACTAAGCATGCACTGCTGGAACACCGACCCCCCCCCCGCCGCCTCCACCACCCTCATAAGCCTGTCAGTCTTTCTCCTCTTCCTTCCGCCAATGCTCCATAACGTTTTTCCTTTATTGTTTATCGTTCTCTCATTGTAGGGACTCTGCCTCTGTTCCCATCGAAGCGACGCTGGAAGAAATGAGGAATCAGCAGAAGCGAGAGGAGGCGCTCCACGCCGCCAGCCTCCGAGTTCCCCGCCACCCGCCGTGGACCCCCCACATGTCCACCAACGAGCTTCATGACAGCGAAACGCAGGTTTTTCTGATTTGGCGCCGCAGCTTAGAGAGGTTAGTTCTCTGCAATCTGATTGTTAGGGTTTAAGTTCTTCAATGAACGCGCGTTTAGGGACTAGCTTGACGATTGCCTATGTGATTTTTGTCGTGTTTAATATGTCTGACATTAATTGAGGGACTAGTTTGACTGTTTGCTCGAGTAAAGGATTTGTGGATGGTTTTAGTTTATGTTGGTGGTGTGGTGGTGTTTCAGGCTTGAGGAGAATAAGAAGCTTGTACTTACTCCACAAATCTACAATCTACCCTGAGAAATATAGCATGGGTAAGCAGATGCAGTTGCTTGGCAATCATATTCATCAAAAGGAGAACCACGCCCATATCTTCACTGATTTCAGTCCCAATAACTGATATAAGAGAATTGTAGTAACTTAAAAAGACAACAACCTATTTTTTTAAAATCAAAACCTTTATCAACCCATATAACTTCAAAGATGAAACCAACTTACCAGATCACTTCGCTCAACAACCCGCCAGAGCTGTCTCCAAATGTCAAGTTTCTTCTCAAATGGAGTAAGTACAAGCTTCTTATTCTCCTCAAGCCTGAAACACCACCACACCACCAACATAAACTAAAACCATCCACAAATCCTTTACTCGAGCAAACAGTCAAACTAGTCCCTCAATTAATGTCAGACATATTAAACACGACAAAAATCACATAGGCAATCGTCAAGCTAGTCCCTAAACGCGCGTTCATTGAAGAACTTAAACCCTAACAATCAGATTGCAGAGAACTAACCTCTCTAAGCTGCGGCGCCAAATCAGAAAAACCTGCGTTTCGCTGTCATGAAGCTCGTTGGTGGACATGTGGGGGGTCCACGGCGGGTGGCGGGGAACTCGGAGGCTGGCGGCGTGGAGCGCCTCCTCTCGCTTCTGCTGATTCCTCATTTCTTCCAGCGTCGCTTCGATGGGAACAGAGGCAGAGTCCCTACAATGAGAGAACGATAAACAATAAAGGAAAAACGTTATGGAGCATTGGCGGAAGGAAGAGGAATTTATATTATATTATAATATTTTTATTGATAATTTATTTTTAAAATATAAAAATTTAATTCATAAATAATTATAATAAATAAAAATTAAATTGGTTTGAAGACTCGTCAATGATCTTGATTCTCTTGTAAGTAGGTTATTGAAAGTTAAGTACTTTCCTAACATGAATTTTTTTTAAAGCCAATATGGGACATGAACCTAGTTATGTTTGGAGAAACATTTAGAGGTCGAAGATGTTTGTCAAAAAATCGTGGAGATGGAAGGTTGGTGGTGATGATAACATTTCAATTTGGAATGTTTTTTTGGCTAAATGGGAGCTGTTTTTTATGTTGCAAAAGTTTAGAGAGACTTTAGGATATAAAGGTGAGTGATCTTATTGACAAGGAGTTAGTTTGCTAGAAAAATGGAAATAATAAACGAGTTAGAGGGTTGTTAATTGTTTAGGTAATAAGTTAAGGAATTCTACATAGTTCGAGACTATAATTGATAGTTATAAGGTGTTGATTAATGGGTTTAAAAACTATAAAGTCAATTTTATTCACAAGCAAGCAAATTCAGTTGCTCACATGTTAGCTAAGGCTACTAAATTTCAAGTAAAGGATTTTAATCATATTCCTCCTTGTATTATTTACAATATTGTGAATGATAGTAGTTGAGTTTGTTTGTTTCAAATATAAAAAATAAAAATTAAATTAGATAAGAAATTTAAAATTCTTAAAAAACTCTTTTGCATACACATCAATCTTAGTTCGGGCTATTTTCAAAAATGGTATGCCTAAAATGATTAGGGCAGATCCATGGGAGAATCCCTCCTCCATATCAAGCACATAGAAATCAGTAGGAAAAATCAGTTCATCGACCTGAACTAAGACATCCTCAATGAAACCTGTAGGGTGGGCGACACTTCTATTTGCCAACTGTATCACCACACCCGTAGGTTGCATAGGACCAAGAGATAGAGATTTAAAAATGGACAGAGGCATGAAATTTATAGAAGCAACCAAATCAAGCATGGCATTTTCAAATTTGCTATTCCCAATAATACAAGGTATGCAGAAAGTACCTGGGTCCTTACATTTTTCAGGAATGTGCAGAACAGATTTACCTATCAAAGCAGACACATTTCTGCCCATGCTGATTCTCTCATTTCCCTTCATTTTCCTCTTATGAGTGCACAACTCCTTCAAGAATTTTGCATATTTCAGGATTTTCTTTATGGCATCAAGCAGAGGTATGTTCACCTCCACCTTCCTGAAGGTCTCCAATATTTCCTTATCCACCTCTTCCATCTTTTTGCTTGGAATCAATTTAGGAGGAAATGGAAGAGGGATAGGAGGCTGCTGCAAATCAAAATTGGTGCTCGAAGAAGGTCCACCTACATGAAAATTTCGGGCACCAACTGGTTCATCATTTTGCTCAGGTGCAGATGCTAGAATTGGTATTAGTACAGGTGCAGATGTTGATGGAGGTGGAGGTACTGCAATGGGTATGTCAATCTGTTTCCCCGACCGCAATGTTATGGCACTCACATTCTTTGGATTCTGCACAGTCTGTGAAGGCAACTTATATGAATTTTGAGACTGTTCCTGATTAAGTTGAGTAGCCATCTGCCCCATTTGATTTTTCAAACTCTGAATAGGGGCTCTGGTCTCTTGCTGAAATTGCATGTTTTGAATGGTCATCTGCCTCACCAACTCCTCCAATGAAGGCTCAAAGGAAGTAGAAGGTTGAGCTGGTTGGGCTACAGGTGCAAGAGGAGGAGGTCTCTGTTGAGGGGGATGGTATGAAGAACTTGAGGGATGGTTCTGGAAAGGTGCTTGATTTTGCTACTGCTGAGAGTTTCCCCACCTCAAGTTGGGATGATTCCTCCAACCAGGATTGTATCTATTTGAGGACAGATCAAAATTTTGTTACTGTTGCTACGTTGGTCTGTTATTGTAGATATTTATAGCATAGGCTTGAGGAGCATGAGCATCAGAAGGCTCCTGTAATGATGGACACGAATCTGTATGATGGTCATTTGACGTGCAAATGCCGCAAACCCTTGCCATAGATGCAGATGAAGATGAAGATTTCTGGTTCATGGAAAGTTGAGTGACTAAACTGACCAAGGTGTCAAGCTTCCCCTCAAGCTTCCTATCTACAGATGAAGAAGAATCAGCAACTACAACATTAATTCCCCTGAGCACAATAGCATCATTCCTAGCGCTGAATTGCTGAGAATTGGAGGCCATTTTTTCAATTAAGTGCCTAGCCTCAACCGGAGTCATGTCACCAAGGGATCCTCCACTGGCAGCATCAATCATACTCCTCTCCATGCTATTCAGGCCCTCATAAAAATACTGTAATAGGAGTTGCTCAGAAATCTGGTGGTGGGGACAGCTTGCACATAATTTTTTAAATCTCTCCCAGTACTCATACAAGCTCTCTCTGCCAAGTTTCCTGATCCCTGATATATCCTTTCTAATTGTAGTGGTTCTTGAGGCAGGGAAGAATTTCTCCAAAAACATTCTTTTTAGAACATCCCAGCTAGTGATGGACCTGGGAGCCAAATAATACAGCCAATCTTTAGCAACTCCCTCCAATGAGTGTGGAGATGCCTTCAGGTAAATGTGATCCTCTTGAACATCAGGAGGCTTCATGGTTGAACAAACAATATGGAACTCCTTCAGATGTTTATGTGGATCCTCACCTGCATGACCATGAAACTTGGGCAACAAATGGATTAGTCCAGTTTTAAGCACAAAAGGAACATCTTCTTCAGGATATTGAATGCACAAACTCTCATAAGTAAAATCAGGTGCAACCATCTCCCTAAGATTCCTCTCACGAGGTCCATTATAAAGTTGTTCACTCATGTTTTCTAGTTGACTTGAATCAATCTCAAATGCAACACTTACACTATGACTATCACTATCACTATATAAAGATGGAATGATATGCTCTCTAATTAGTCTATGGAATTTCCTATCAATCTCAGGATCAAATGGATGCAAAAAACTTGGGTTGCTCCTAGTCATGCACTACATGCAACACATGCATCAGGACACGTGAACAGTAGGGGTAAAATGGGAATTTCCATGAAAACTCAGGAAATATCAAAAATAATGCACCAACATCATCCTAAAATCATTAGAAACTACCACAAAAAATTTGAGAGCAAAATTCAAAGCCTAGCTATATGAACTACCTAAGAAAAGTTTGGAAAAATAGGGAAATAAAACTTCAAAATTAAAAAAAAAATAGTAAACGGAATTTTTTTGAAAATCTAGCTGGGGCCAGGCGGCATAATAGTGTGGGTTTGATAGATCTTTTTTTTCTACACAAAATGAAAAAAAAAGTTTGCCTAATTTTGATAACCAGAGCCAAAGTTATGGCCCTTTGAAGTTTTGCTGAAAACAATTTTCAAAAATTTTGGTATCTCCAAATCTTGACCAAACTATGTGCCCTAGCTATTTTTTACACAAAATATAGATTGAAAGAAGTTACCACACAAAATTTGAGGCAAAAATAACAAGTCTAGCTATCAAAACCAAAAATCACAATTAATTGGAAAATTCTAGCACTATTCAGCACTATTCACCGCCACATGAAATGCAACATTTTTAACAACTTGGACCCGATTTTCACACCCCAAACAGAAGAGTAGTAGACATCCAAAACAGAGTATGCCTACACACACTAAAACGAAAACAGAGCATGCACCAAAACACGCACCAAAATAGAGCAAAACCGCACCAAAATGCACCACAAAACACACCAGAATGCACCACAAAACGCACCACAAAACCTTTCAGCTGATTTTTCTAATTCAATGATTTAGCACACCAAATGGAATCAATATAATTGCTCAATGAGCTATGGAATGCAATAAAGATCAGTTATGACAAACATATGACAACAAATGCACCAAAAACCAAACTCGAGTTACTGTTCCATTGGTTTACTATTCAATTGGTTTATTGTTGCATTAGACTCAATAGCATGAATTCTTCAACTGAAAAACTTGCTACACCTGGGGGGGCTAATAACAAACATAAATACACAACATAACATGTAGTGGGATGCAAAAACACAAACACACAACTGATACTCCAACTGGTTTATAAAACTGATACACAAAACTAAAACTGATACACACAACTCATACACTAAGACACTACAAACACACATAACATAACAGAGACTCTAAAACACTACACTACTAACAAAAACACAAAACACACAATAGAACACGTTAAACAAAAAAAAACAAAGAATACACACCCTTTAACAAGAACCGATGATCCCTAGCAACGACGCCAAATTTGATCGATGTCGTACTCGGTCAAATAAATGCAATTAAAATGCAGTACTAGGAAGTGACTCCTAGGTCGTCTCCCAAGGACCAGTTCTTTCTGTCAAAGGATCAAACACGTAGTTGGGGGGGTTTGAGCAGATTATCAAATTTAAATAAAATAGAGCAGAGATATGAATTAATTGTAGTAATTAAAATAGGTCAGACCCTTGAACATAATGCACCTCTGATATCCTTGGTTCACAATAGATAATCTGTCCGAACTTAATCCTGTTCAGTCCAGATTAACCAACTAAGCGAAGATTAACTTGAGACCTCACTACACGAATTAAGCAGATGTGAACCTTGTCAGACCTCCTTCCTCAGGATTAAGCAACTTGAGATACTGAACGCAAACAACCTAGAATCATTAAGCATGACTCAGATGTTGAACACCTCAAAATAGAGACCTCACAAGGAAGAATCAAGCGGAGAAGAAATGCAACACACAGAGAACCTCCAACAGAGGGTTGCAATCTGCCCAAGGGCCCAACCCTGGGGTTTTAGCTTTCCATTCAACAGAAATGAAAACAAAAATGCAAGGAAGAAGGAGAAGAAGAAGAAACTAATAAGTTGTATTCATTCAAACAAAAATGCAGTCCAAAATACAACCAGCAAACAAAACGTCACTGGAGAGCAAAACATGAATATGGAGAAGCAAAACCACAGAAAAAACGTGAAAAACCAAAGAGAAGGAGGGAGGTAACGTGGTCACATCATATGTCCCACTTAGTAGCTGCCTTAGGACCCTATAAAACCCTAGAAGAGTCAAAATGGGCCCTAGTGTTAGGTTTGACTCGAAAATACATAAAATAAATGAAAAATAAAATAAAACAAAATATTGATGTGGCGCTGATGTGGCAGATAACGTGGCAGCTCCACTTGAAGTCCAGAAATTAATTCCAAGCCTAGATAATTATTAAACTGCCTAGAAAATAAAAATTGGAATAATAAGATTCAGAAAATTCAAATTAGTTAAAATATGAATTACCGGTCCAATTAAAGCCCAAATAGAAAACAGTGCAGAATATCAACAATTAAGCACAAATCAGAGATTAAAATAAGTACAAAAAGGTAAGAAAATAAGGGAAAATAATGATTCATCACCGGCCTCTTCATGCCAGTTGCTGATGTTGAGTATTATTATGTCGGCCTCTCCAAGCTGGTTGTTGATATTTAGTACTATTATGTCAGCCTCTCCAGGCTGGTTGTTAATGTTGAGTACTACTGTGCCGGCCTCTCCAGGCTAGTTACTGATGCTGAGTACTGTTGTGCCGACCTCTCCAAGCCGGTTTCTAATATTGAGTATTGTTGTGTCGGCCTCTCCAAGCTGGTTGCTGATGTTGAGTACTGTTGGGTCGGCCTCTCCAGGCTGGTTGCTGATGTTTTGAGTATTGTTGTGCTGGCCTCTCCAAGCCGGTTGTTGATGTTTTGAGTATTGTTGTGTTAGCCTCTCCAGGCCAGTTGCTGTTATTTTGAGTATTGTTGTGTCAGCCTTTCCAAGCCTGTTGATGATGTTTTGAGTATTGTTGTGTCAGCCTCTCTAGGGTGGTTGCTGATTCTTATAATCTGATTGCCTCTTTTCTTTGGCAGGGACGTTTATGAAGAAGAGGATTACTAGTAGATGGTGCCTTTGTGTTATTGGTCAAAGGAGTAGATGGGTGACAGGGATTCTGGTGTTGCCCTTGCCATGTGAGTATTGTGATGCCTCTCCAGGCGCCATGCTGATGAGTTTTTACTGAATTTCATTTTCTTAGCTTTAGCTTTTTCATGTTTGAAACTTACCTTTTTCTGTTACTTTTCTAATTTCTTCGGCTTTTTTCAACATTTACGAAGCTTGCCTTTTTCTCATGTTGTTGCTTTTGCTCTTTATTGTCATCATTGGTGGAGGGATCTATTCCCATGATGTTATTTTCTGAATCTTTATTGATGAGTATTATTTTGGAAGCCAATCTTGGCTTTGGCAAGAAAGCATTCCTAGTCTTGGCATTTTCATGGATCTTCCTTCATTTGGTTGAGGAGTATAGCTTGGTCGAAAATAGAATAAGGCTTGGTGGTTTCTTCATGCTTGTAGACTTGATTATTCTTCCTCGTCCCGTTCTATCCTGTCTTGTTGTTGACCTGTCTTTCTTTTCTCGGTGGCTATATAAAACCACTTGTATGGGTTGCCCTTGTTGGGGCTAGGCTTTTTGACATGATCTTGGCTCTTAAGGCATTGTCTAGCTATTGATATTTTTTACGAGTGCTTTGGCCTCTTGATTCTTCCAACAAGTGATGGATAGACACACACAAAGAATAAAGAAAATGCGAAGCAGGAATGAATTGGATATTTTCAATTTTTTAAGTGAACTTATACCCTTTTGTGCATACTTGTGTCCTATGCATGCTATGCAATGATGCCTCTATCTAATGCTTAAATCCAGATTGATTTTACTTTCAAGAAATTAATCTATGTGCATTAATTATTGGCTTGGATTGTTAGTCTTTAGCCGTGTCAAATTCATTCCAAGTGTTGCCTTTTGAACCTGAGGTTTGTGTACTTCGGCCTTCTCGCCTGTACCGTACATGATATGTTAGCCCTTAGATCAGGTGTACCTAGACTCTATTCTAGGACACCTCCAACTTCTCCCTATAAGTGTTCACTGTGCATATTCTATGTATCTCTCAAATTTATCTTAATGCCATATAGGTCAAGAGGAAAGACAAGAATGTGATATATACATTTTTCTACAAAAGGTTTATTAGAGGGGATTTTTTCAAAAATGGTTTTTAGAAGAAGGGTTGGTTGAGGTAGGTTAGTGTCAAGGCTGATGAACAAGCATATTTAAAATGAAGAAATCATTTTTTGCATTAGCTTATTATTTCCTTCAAAGTTAAGCGATGATTTGGGATTGCATATTGATTAAATGATCTTCCCGAGCCACCTTTCAGTTTTCAGCTCGGGATGCTGCTTTGTCCTAACTTTTGCCTAGGTTACTTGATGTGTGTTCCCTAGCAGACATTTTCTTTTTGATCCTCACTTTTTCCTAGGCTGCCCTTTTTGTTTATGGGTCTCCTAGTGGACCTTGTCCTAAGTTTTGTGTTGCCCTCTCAATAGGTTTCTTGTCGGACTTTTGTCTTTGTAGTATTTGTGATCATCTTTCATTCTTTCATTAAAGGGGGATGCCCCTTGCAATAATTTTGTTTGGACTTTTATCCACAAATCATGCCGAATTTGATTGATCTTTATGTGTTCTTTATCGCATATTAAACCCTTGTTTCTAATGACGTTCTTATTTCAAATATACTTGTTCATTTAAGGTTCGTTGACGAGGCTTAGAATAGATAAAAGGGAGAAGAGAAATGAAGTAGACACTACAAGAAAAATCAGCATTATCTACGGAAAAAATCCGTAGATAATGATGAAAATTCGTAGATAACTGATAATTATCTACGGATTATCTACGGAAAAAATCCGTAGATAATAAGGTCGTAGATAACGTTATCTACGGAAAATTTTTGGTAGATAACGTTATCTACGGA